AAAAAAAAAAAAAAAAAAAAAAACAACAATAACAATTTATCATTTCTAACAGTTTCTGTGTGTCAGGAATTCGGAAGTGGCTCAGCTGGGCAGTTGTGGCTCAGAGTTTCTCTTGAGGTTGCAAGTTTGATGCATTTTCAAGTTGGCTAACTTACATGACTGGCAAATTGGTTGTGGCTGTTGACTAGGGACCTCACTTCCTTTCCACATGGGTCTCCCATTGAGTGTCCTCACCACATGGCAGCTGGTTTCCCCCAGAGGGAGCAATCCGAGGCACCAAGGCAAAAGTTGCAATGCCATCATGATCTAGCCTCAGAAGTCAGATATCATTTCTGCTATTGGTCACCATTTCTATTGGTCACACAGGGCAAGCCCTGATTTAGAATGAGAGGGGACTATGCAAAAGTATGAATACTAGAAGGTGAGGATCATTGGGGGCCATGTTGGAGACTGGCTACTACAGAGCCCATCAACCAAATGGCTATACCTGGCACACCTGTTCCTCACTACCTGCCTTTCATTCAAAATAAAACAGTATACTATAGCTTTTACATCTGTCATCACATTTTATCTTCATCACAACCCTGCCAGTAGGGAGAGCAAGAGAAGCTGGGGTCACCTTAAAAGAACCCATCTGTATCTCAGGCACAGATTAATTTGAGTTACATTATTCATGAGGAGGAAAATGTCAAGATTCTGTGTTGTGTTTTGCAACATTTCTGCTAAAGTCACCCTTTATGTTTAATTGTACTGAAATTGAATGCTGAAAGGAAAATACATATTTTCCCCAACATTAAGAGACTATAAACAATTATTTAAACAACTGAGCTGATTTTAATATGATCAGAAAGTGATAGCAGACTTAATGTTACATGTTAATTGGGAAATTCAAACTCACTCTCTCTTAGTAAACTTACAAAGAGAAATATAATCTTCCCAGACATACAAATAAGCATTATAGTCTCATGGTTGAAGGTTGTATATCAATAAATAATCATATTTAAAGTAGGATCTCATTGGAAAGCTTTGTTCAAGTCAGCCAGTCTCAATTTTATGATGACAAGATAGCAAATAAATATAAATCAATAAGAACCATCTTCATTTCAACCTGGCTTACCCTTAGTGTCATCAAGATATCTGACTTGTGAATATTCTCCCACTTTTATCCTTTTTTATAAAGCAAGATATAATGGCTAGCCGAGTGTATTATATTCGAAAGACTTGTGTCAGTAGCTCACAGTTTCTCAATCTGTTGAGATTCCTGTTACCTAAAAATGTGTGGTTTTGGTTTCAACTTCATGTCTCTAATCAAGGCTGAATTTAAAGATCCAGAAACAATGAATCTGACCATCCTATAACCATCATGCCCCTTCAGATCAATAGTAGAATGTTGAATATGGTGCGGTCTATGTCTGAAAGAGAGAGAAAGAGGGAAGCATGTGAAAAGAAGAGAAAGATGACAGTGTCTCTCTTATCCACATTCGTCATCCGTGTTGGAAAGGCATTCTTCAAATCAAGAAAGAACCAGAGTGTGGCTGATTAGGATAGCTGAGAGGAGAGGATCATGAAAAAGGACACTAACATTTATTGTGTGACACCCACCTACCAGGCAGTGGTTTCCAGATGAAGAAACCAAGGATCAGGCAAGTCAAATAACTTGTCCAAGGTGCACAACTAGTTATTTATGATTGAAACCAATGACTAACTCCAAATCCCTTCTACAATCCTACGCTTACTCCTGGACAAAGAATGTGAGAATTTATGATTTGGGTAACTTGGATTTTTACCCCAGGGTCAAACAAACCACCCGTGAAACCTGGAAAGGACTGGAGCTCTATTTTTTGACTTTCATACAGTGCAGTTCCAAACCAGATTGGGACAACTTTGTGCCTTGCACCCCATTAAAACTGGGGCTAACACAGCATGATTGATTTGAGTAGCCTTGCCTTAGTAGAATATTCAGGCCGATTCCTTATCTGAATAAGTCTCTGAGAATTCCTAGAATCTGGGAAGAGTAATGGAGGGTCTGGAGCCTTCCCTATACACCAGGAAGTCTTGGTTTTGCTAAGAACTTGGCCAAAGCCTTGGTGGCGTCAACTCCAAATCCACAGTTTCCTTGCAGTTACTGCTTGAGATTCTCTGAAGAATTGTGGCTATATGCCAGGATGTTTAATAGGAAGCTCCTTCCTTTATGACATCACCAGCCAGGTAGCTAAGGGGACTATCTGAGACACTCTTAGAACAACAGCCACTTTTGTGGGAGTGCAAGAACAGCTTTTAACACTGAGGGTAAATATTCAGGCTTCATTAGGACCCTGAATACAAGCCAGCCGGTAAAATATGGGATCTACCCAGAGAGGCACAGTCTATCAAATGGTCAAGATGAATAAAATTGGGTCGAAGGTAGCAGTTTCACCACAGAAAGGGGCTGAGGTTACTAACACAACCCCTCAACGGGGACATGGTTACGTTCTTGCCTCAAGCCAGCGAAGTGCTGCCGTCTCCCTGAGCCCTTCGCCCCACCGAAGATCAGAAGCTGGGCATTCCACCACTCCCCATTCAGCGTCAGACTATCCTCGATCTACCTCCCCCCAGTCAGGCCCCCGCCTCTCTGGAGCACCTATCCCTCGAGGAACCGAGACCCGATCAAAATCAGAAGCATACCGCCATTCCTCTCTTCAGCGAAAGATCCAGCAAACTCAGACATCAGCTTCCCATGCCGTCCAGATGCAGCAGACTGTTAGTCCATCCAGGGAAGAATCCACACGAAGAGGGTGTGAGAGCAAGTCAGGGCGTGAAATCAGTAATCGGTACTCATTAACCCCAGATGCCAAATCCTCTCGCCGGTTGAGTTTTGTAGACCAGAAGGATAACTTACAAATCTTACAAGAAGAAGACCCACCCTCCAAGGTCCAGTACCCACAAGGGGTCAGAGTTCCCCGGAGGACTTTGGTTTGCCCAAAGGATGAAGCAGTCCAAACTGAGCCCATCCGAAAGAGTTTGACTGCTGCTGAGATCAGATCTCCAAGGAGACCCTCTAGCCCCGAACGCAGCAGCAGTCGCGTCTATGCAGATTCTCGGACAACACAGAGAAGGATCCTTGGCCAAGAGTCTGAAATGGGTCGTCAAAGTTCAATTTATATAGAACCCAAGCCCTTGCATAGGAATATGAACTTGGAATCATCCCTCAGACTCTCCATCCTTAAAGATTTGGATGGTGGACAACGAGCTTCTGTGCGTCCAGAACCTGAGTCTATCCACAAGCATTCTGTCTACAGTGAAACCAAGCCCTCCTCAAAGGTCTTAATATCATCAGAAGTGGAGTCCAACATGAGGTCCTCAATCCGAGGAGATGGCGAGGTCGGCCGCAGGGTCACCATCTGCCCAGGAGTACAGTCGGTACAGTCAGCTCACCGTGTGACATCTCGAGCAGTGTCTGAGAGCCCCCACAAATCCTCCATGTTTGTCACTCCAGAGCCCGTCTATAAGCAGCAGACCCAAAGACCCTCAGAAAGTGTCTACATGTCCCCAGGACCCGCACTCAGGTATCCAGAACCCTCCCGAAAGCCCTCTGTCCATGCAGAACTGGAACTGATCCCTCGGCCTTTACCCCCACGGTCTTTACCTAGGTATGGGCCCGACTCCTCATGGTGGGCCTTACTCAATCCTGAAGTTGAAATGCCCCAAAGTCGGCCGACAACACCTGATTTTGAGCCTAAGTCCCCTCCTCCCCTAGACCCTTTATTGTCCTTTTTTGAAATGGACTCAAGCCCTTTCTGTGAGGATCCGATGTTCCAGAGAGAGAAGGCAAGTCCATCACTACCACCAGCACCAGCAACACAACCACCACTACCATCACCAAAGGAGTCTCCGAGCCGGGCACCATTGAGGGAAGTGCCACAGGCCCCCAAGCACACCTCCAAACAACCCAATCAAAGGTTTAGTGCTTTCTTCTTGGGTATGTGAAGAAGCAGACTGCCAAGGTGCAGCCCCAATTTAGTGAGGTGGGATGTTGGGGTGGGCAGGAAAGGCCCCCTCTTCATTCTGGGCCTCAGAGCTGCCCCCTGCCAGTGCCAAAGCTAGTCCCATTCTTGAGCCCATTGCTCCATTCCTTCCCCGCTAGCTTCTTTGAGCTCCAAGCTAATGACATTGATAACGATGCTTGGGCCAGCGTCAGACATTGACTCTTCCAGGCAACACTGCTTAACTTCTCAATGGAGGGTTGTAGAGAGTGGTTTGCAGAGTGGGAAGCAGCTTCAAGAGAGAGGAGATGAAGAACTGAGCTGGGGTGAGGGCTGGTAAGGGCTAGTAAAGTGAATAAGATCCTCAGGTAAATATTCCGGCAACAAAGCGGAGAGGGTGGAGCGTAGATGATCTGGGACTTACACTTCGAAGAGGGGAAAGGCATTAACAGTGACAAAAAGAGGGTGGAAAAAAAGGGAGAGGGAAAGTGGGAGTGTGACATTTAGTCCTAGGCTGGAGGAGCTTTTTGGAGAGGATCAAGGGCTGAGGGCACCTTTGGGTGGAGAAATGTGGAGCTAGAAAGGGAGATATTAAGTAGTGGGGGGGATGGCGTGTACATCCCACAGAGAGAAAAAAGGCAACAATCTGTTACTTTCAGATGTCTCTGAGGAAATGTACAATCGTGTCATCTGGTGGCTCAAAGGTCTGTGCGTTTCCCTCCTGTGGGTCCATTGTGGGGCTTTGGGAGGCAGGAGGACAGGTAGGAGGGTGGCCTCTGTGTATCTGCAGAGCTAGGTCTGTTAGGCCAGTACACTGGGGTTTTGACTTGAAGGAGCAGAGGAACTTCTCATCTTGCCTATAATTCTACCATTAGAGTCATCCCTTTGGGACTTGGAACCTTTGTCATTTTCAAGAGTCTCCTTTTAATGGGAAGTAGTCACTTCTGGAATGGAGAACAATTTAAGACCATGGCCTTTCAGCTTAGCTGGTCTTACCTATCATGTGATTAAAAAAAAAAAACCACCAAAATGAACTATCTGCTTCATATCTTACTTCAGAGCTGACTCCACACTAATTCAGGTTGAGGGGTATCCTCGTGTGTCTCTCTGGTTCCTCAGAACCCTCCTCAAGCCCTCACCCCAGGACCTAGGAGGTACTTATTGGCTACTGCTCAGGTGGGATCTCCAGGGATGTCTGGGCCTCCACCTTGAGGCCATGAGTGGGTCCTGTAGCCAACTCGAGAATCCTTGAGAAATGTCCCCAGGGCCTGGTGACCCCCTGACTCCCTCCCACTCCCTTGGTACTCTTGACCTCTCTGGTGGGAGGGAAGATGGGGACCAGCCCTCATATAGTTAATTTTGGTGGAAAGGAGTTCCTGCTTTGAGCATTGTAGCCCAAAATATTCTCCAGCCCTTTGAGCATGAGGGAAGCCAGGGCTCTGGATGAGGAAGTTCCTAGGGAGAAGAGAGCCCTGGGAATGCAATCCATTTCCAACCAGCATGAGCCCTCTCAGTGATGGACAGCAAAGAACAGAGAAGGGCAGCCCTGCCCCTCAGAGGGAGCAAAGCTGTATAAAGTAGAAGTTTAGTAAAGTATGGACTCTGGACTTAGATTATTGAGTTTGAGCCCTGTGTCCACTATTTTCTGACTGTGACCTTGGGTAGGTTATTTTACCTCTCCAGTCATTAGTTTCCCCATCTGTTAATGGGAAAAATGGCTTCCTCTTGGAGTTCTTGTGAGGACTGACCAAGCTATTACCTGTAAAGCACTTAGCATGGTGCCTGGCAACAGAGAGCACTCAGTAAATGCTAGCTGTTATTATTTGGGTCACTTGTGCTAGGAAGGAATTTGGGCCAGGTTATGCCCAAGTCCACTGGACATCATTAGTAAAATTCTCTTTTTCCCTTCTTGTTGGCACTCTCTGAATCCATTTGCTGCCCCCTGGGAATGCATGGCTTCTGCTGCTTCGTTATGACAGATGAGGAGGTAAGAACACCCCCAGGAAGTTACTTCCAGTCTTCCTGTGCTCCCCCTTATCCAAGTCCCTTTCTTACCCTCAAATGGAAGCATGTATGGAGGGAGACAGACAGACCTGCTCCTTATGGTTGGTCAGGTTGTTTACTGAACAAGGGCACCTGGCAGAGAGAGTAAGTGGGGGCTGAAATCTAGCCTGTGTTCTACTTGCCAAGCTGTGCACCTGTAGGGCTGCATCTCCTTGGATGGGGGTTTGCATGAAGGTGCTATATGAGCTAGTTGCAGCCATGGAGAAAAAGAGTAGAGACCTTCTGGCAGACGATGAATCCTGCTGAGTGCTCTATGGGAAGGCTGTCTGGGAAGCCATAGGTTGGATCCGTCCCCACTTGGATCTCCCCTCTCCAGCCTAGGGCACTCCAGAAAGGGGACGTTTTTCTGGGTTACACACTATTTGAGTCCTCAACTTGGAAAGGCACAAGGTGAACTCTGCTCTCAGCAGCCCTGTGTCCTGAATTTGGCGAAGAGTGTCCTGATTTCACAGTGCATTGTTCCCATAAGTACCTTAGTTCTTCTTGGCCCATGTTTGATAAGATAGTCTGAGCGATTCCTGCCTGCATTCTTTCTCTTGCCATATGTCTCCCTTCCCGAAAGCCTAGCATGGCCTCTAATAGGTCCTCTCCATGATCTAGCCCAGGATGGACAGTTGACTACAGATGGAAACAAATGGGAGGGGGTAGGATAGCCTGAGCTCAGATAATGGAACAGCTGAAGGGGAGGTGCCAGAAACGCGGCTGCCACCCCCTCTGCCATGGCTTCTTATCCAGCCCAGTGCCTTGAGCTCAGCTGTGGGTGGGAACAGCTACTTTTAGAGATTAATTCCGTGCAAGATAGTAAATCCTTCTCTCCCTCCTCTCTTTCTCCCTCCCTTCCTTCCTTCTTCTCTCCCTTCCTTCCATAAACAATTTTTATTCAGATGCCTAGCACTCTGCTAGGCACTATTGGGGAAAGCTCCGAAGACTTATAAGCGCACACATTCTTTGGCCTTAAGAAATTTACCGTCTGGGTAGGGAGATAAGACATGGACAGGAAATGTTTAAACAACAAAATAAAATAGTCTGTGCTCAAATGTCCAAATAAATGCGACAAACTGAATAAGTGCTCTTGGAGGGTCTTAGGAGAGAGGGAGTCAGCAGGGAGTGGTGGGGGTGTGTGTATGGTCAGGTTACCCCTTCCTTCCCAAAGCCAGGGGGTATCTTAACAGTTAGCCTCTTGCTCACCCCTTGATGCAAATCTATACCTTTGGGAAGGGGTTAGTATTTCCCCTTGTTCAGGATGTGATGTTTTTGACTGCGCAAGTTCCTCCCTGTTTTCCCCCACCCTCACCCCCTTTCTCTGTGCATCTTGTTTTAGTTTAGGAAGTCAAAAGCCTTGGCAGCAGGACGGCTCCTTCCCAAAATAGCTCTTGTCCTGTCTCGATAATTGCAGCTCTCCAGCCCTGTTCAGCAGCAGAGCTGCTCCCCAGAAGCTGGGAAGAGAAGACTCCCAGGCAGCTGGGCCGCTGGTCTTCTCTGGCTCCCTGGAAGTGGGGCAGCATGGAGGTGGGCCAAGTACTCTCTTCGCAAAGCATGAGAGCACTAGGCCTTCGCCATCCTGTCCCCCAGGCTGCGTGGCTCACAGGCAGTCCCAGGATGGAGACAATGGTGCTGGTGTCCAAGGCTTCTGGTTCCTCTGATCTGGGAATGGCTGACTGTAGAGTCTGTCCCAGATTCCATTCCCAGCAGGAATTCTCTGGTGGCCCAGCCACGGTGCCTGGCTCGTGGACGGCAGCATGATGGTTGTTAAGCTTCACAAGCCCTTTTGGTTCCACAGCTGGGGACAGAGCCTGATTCCGCCCATCTCTCTCTCTAAGTGTCAGCTTCCTCCCAAGCGGCTCCTCAAGCCCCTTTTTTCTAAGGAGTGGGGTGGACAGATGCTTCTCATCCTTGGATTGGGACATTAGGGGCTGGAGTCTCCCCAGAGGAGATTATGCTGGACTGAGGGAAGCATTCCTGATGGGGTTTTTTTGGGTATTAGAACTAGCAGAAGCTCAACAGGAAGGTCCTAAGGGTACCCTATGGGGTCAGCAGGGGCTGTCTTCTCACACAGCCCTGGAGAATTCCCTGGAGTAAAGCAGCTCTTGATGGATAGGGCTGCCCTGGCCCCAAGATCCTGTGTCCTCAAGACACCTAACCTACTTGCCCTTGGATGTGACTTCTCAGGCCGTCAGGGGACAAGGTGGTTTACTCCCTGCTGTATCTATCAATTATGCAAAACACAAACTCTGGAAAACAGGCCAGGAACCAGAGGAGGCCGTCTCAATGATACCTAAGGAAGACTTCAGTGTCTTTAGGGTGACATGTCATTTGGCTCCTGGGGGATGATACAACCAGCCTCCTGTTGGCTCCTGAGCCACAGGGATGTTTTGCTTAGGTAGACTTCCTCGACAAAGAAAAATCCGGAGCCTAGGAGAAACACAGGGAGGCTCTGCATTCATGGAGATGTTAACAGAATCCCAAGATATGGGCTTTCTGAAAGGAACCCTAGAACTATCTTTCCTCCTCCTTTCATTCTCTCTTGCTCAGAGGCTCAGAGTTGAGAGGAAAAGGAATTATTGAAAGAATGGAGCAGAGCTGCTGAAAATGGGGCACGGGACCCTGGGAGGCTTTTCATAGCAGCTTGACCCTCGCTACTCAGGTTCTTTTTCTGTCAGATGGTAGCTTGTTCATTTCCAGCTACAATGGACAGCTAAATCCAGAGCAGGATGGGAGACTGGTGACCTCTGGCCCAGACTTGCTATTTTGGGGACAGGCTAGGTTGACCAACTCATCAGAATTTGCCAAAGACTTTCCTGGTTCTAGCATTGAAAGTCCTATGTCCTGGAGACACCCTCAGTCCTGGGCAAACCGGGACAATTGGTCACCCTAGGACAGGCTGTGGTGTGGTATGCCTCAGCAAGAGCTACTGGAAGCAGAGGGCAGAGAGATGCTGTCCTGCCTTCACTGTGAGACTTGGGCAGATTACTCCCTCTGTCTATAAAATGGGGGCAGGAAAGTGCTATGCCTTCCTCTTGGGCTTGATGGCAGAACTGAGGCCAGAATTCCTTAGTTTTTTGTTCAGCCCAGAATGATCCCACATAGGGAAGAATCTGCCACATCCATTTTGGACTTTCTGGTGTATTTCAGGAGCTACTTGTTTCCCTGCCTGGAACCCATCTCCAGCATTATGTCTTTCTGTCAGAGTAGTTTGGTGGTGTTTCAAGTGGCAGGTTTTTCAAGTAAGAGGAGAAACACTGGGCCTGGGTAGTAGGGAGCTTGGCTTCAGAGGGCAGGGTGCATACTTGGGTGAGGAAGCAAATCTAACACAGAAGCCACCCTAACAGCTGCTCAGCCAGAGGAAGGCCGTCCTGAGTGACAGAAATGACCATGTCCCTTCACTCTCCTCTGCTCAGCTGCCTTTGGCCCAGCTGCCATGAGGGGAGAAGCAAGAGACAGCTGCACCTTGGGGGCTGAATGAAGGCCTGGAGGAGGGGGACAGAATGTGAGGCAGTTCCTGAGAGAAGCTCAGGCTCTGACACTGTAGGTGGGAGGACTGGGCCAGCCAAAGTCATTTCCTTGGCACACCCACCACAGGCAAAGTCATTTAGCTCCAGGAGTCGCCACAGTGGCTGTTTCTGGGAATTCACAGAGTAAGTCTGAAACCAAGCCCTGTCTTCTAGAGATGGAGTGGTGTCTAGTTGGAGAAGCTGACTCCACAGTTGGTGGCAGCATGGTCATTCCAATGCCACTTAAGTCTAAGGTTCTTCTTCCATCCCTCCACATCCATTACACATGCACAAGCCTAATCCCTTTGGAGGGAAGGCATTTGAAGTAGTCACAGTTGACAGTTGCTGACTTGGTGTTGATAATTTTCTCATTAGCTGAAATAATAGCCACTACTCATTTTAGTGATTATACCATGCTAAGTATGTTACCTTAGTGAATCTTCACAGCAACCCTATGAGGTAGACTTTTTTCTCCCTATTTCATAGATGAGGAACCTGAGGCTCAGAGCTGGCTCCTCAAAGCTGGGAGCACTTTAGGGAGCATCCTGCCCCAGGGATTCATATGTGGTGTAGAAACTCTTCTCCTGTAGCCACTTCTTCCTGGAAAAAAAATTCTATTTTGGCAGCACATTTAGATAGCAATAATTGTGAAGGGAAAGGTTTTAGTGGGGACCACATTTGTGTCTTAGCGTGTGAACTGTGAAGCTGGGAGGTGGGTATGAGCTGGTGAACAGCCAGAATGAAGGGCAAGTTATGGGTCAACGAAGCCCAGAGCCTCAAGGCTTGTCTGTGCTCCTAAGTCAGAGTGGAAAACTAATCAATGGATCCTTTCAGCCAATCCATATTGATCAGACATCTCCTGGGGGCAGAGGCCTGGTCACCCAGGCAGACATCACAGCACATGTTCACTGAATTGAAGTGAGTAGAGGTTAAAATAGAAGACATACTCCCTGTCCTTAAGGGGCTTGTGGTTAATTTGGGAGAGAAAAATATACAGATGGGTCACTTGAAAGGATGTGGACATCAAAGGACAAAACAAATTCCAGTGAAATGAGTCAGCAAAGCTTCTAGGTCTGGAGGGTCGGGGGAGACAAATTTCGGCTGGGTATAATGAAGACCTTGGTAACTTACTGCCCGAAGATTGAAGGGCAGTTGTTAGAGTTAGTGAGTTTTTGGCCATGGGAGGTATTCAAGCAGAGGCTAGGAGGTCAGGGGTGGCTCTAGAAGGGAGTCAGACTCCAGTGGGTAATGGCATTGGGAGGTGTGTAAGTCCCTCTCATCCCTGAGCTCCTGTGCCCCTCCCTGCTGCAGAGAGGGTATTGGAAGGATGCTCTGGCTGGCTTCTAGCACCCTGTTGGCTCCGAAACTGCCCCTCACTGCAGCCATTCAGCAGGTGCCAGGAAACACAGTGCTCCCTGGCCTTGCACCCACA